TCCCTCCCAGGTCCCTCCCAGGTCCCTCCTAGTGCCTCCCAGTACATCCCGGTTGCCTCCTAGTACATCCCAGTTGCCTCCCAGTACGTCCCAGTTCCCTCCCAGTGCCTCCCAGTACATCCCAGTTGCATCCCAGTACATCCCAGTTGCCTCCCAGTGCTTCCTAGTACATCCCAATCCCTCCCAGGTCCCTCCCAGGTCCCTCCTAGTGCCTCCCAGTACATCCCGGTTGCCTCCTAGTACATCCCAGTTGCCTCCCAGTACGTCCCAGTTCCCTCCCAGTGCCTCCCAGTATATCGCAATCCCTCCCAGTACATCCCAGTTGCCCCCCAGTGCCTCCCAGTACATCTCAGTTGCTCCCCAGTGCCTCCCAGTACATCCCAGTTGCCTCCCAGGTCCTCCCAATACATCCCAATCCCTCCCAGTACATCCCAGTTCCCTCCCAGTGCCCCCTAGTGCCCTCCCAGTGCCTCCCAGTATGTCACAGTTGCCTCCCAGTGCCGCCCACTATGTCCCACTTCCCTCTCAGTGCCTCCCAGTATGTCCCAGTACGTCCCAATTCCCTCCCAATATCTCCCAGGGCTTCCCAGTACGTCCCAGTTCCCTCCCAGCGCCTCCCAGCTCCTCTCACTGCCTCCCAGTACATCCCGCTTCCCTCCATGCACCTCCCAGTTGCCTACCAGTGACTTCCAGTATGTCCTCCCTCCCTCTGAGTGCTTCCCAGTGCAAACCCAGTATGACCCAGTGCCTCCCAGGTTCCCAATGCGTCCCACTACATGCTACTTCCCTCCAAGGGCCTCCCAGTACGTTCCAGTATGTCCCAGTTCCCTCCCAGTGCGTCCCAGTACGTCCCACTTCCCTACCAGTGCCTCCCGGTGCATCGCAGTTCCTTCCTAGTACATCCCAATTCCCTCCCAGTGCTTCCCAGTACGTCCCAGTTCCCTCCGTGCACCTCCAGGTGTCTCCCAGTTCAGTCCCAGTACATTCCAGTTCCCTCCAAATGCCTCTGAGAACCTCCCAGTGCCACCCAGTACATCCCAGTTCCCTCCCAGTGCCCCCTAGTGCCCTCCCAGTGCCTCCCAGTATGTCACAGTTGCCTCCCAGTGCCGCCCACTATGTCCCACTTCCCTCTCAGTGCCTCCCAGTATGTCCCAGTACGTCCCAATTCCCTCCCAATATCTCCCAGGGCTTCCCAGTACGTCCCAGTTCCCTCCCAGCGCCTCCCAGCTCCTCTCACTGCCTCCCAGTACATCCCGCTTCCCTCCATGCACCTCCCAGTTGCCTACCAGTGACTTCCAGTATGTCCTCCCTCCCTCTGAGTGCTTCCCAGTGCAAACCCAGTATGACCCAGTGCCTCCCAGGGCTTCCCAGTACATCTCTGTTCCCTCCCAGTATGTCCCAGTTCCCTCCCAGTACATCCCAGTTCCCGCCCAGCAGGTCCCAGTTTCTTCCCAATGCCTCCCAGGGCCTCCCAGTACATCCCAGTTCCACCCGAGCGCCTCCCAGTACGTCCCGGTTCCCTCCCAGTTCCCTCCCAGTGCCTCCCAGTACCTCCCAGTACATCCTACCTCCCTCCCCGTGCCCACCCAGTACGTCCCAGTTCCCTCCCAGTGCCCCCTAGTGCCCTCCCAATGCCTCCCAGTATGTCCCAGTTGCCTCCCAGTGCTGACCAGTACCGCCCACTATGTCCCACTTTCCTCCCAGTGCCTCCCAGTATGTCCCAGTACGTCCCACTTCCCTCCCAATACCTCCCAGCGCCTCCTAGTGCCTCCCAATACGTCCCAGTCCCCTTCCAGCGCGTCCCAGTGCCTCCCAGTACCTCCCAGTACATCCCAGTTGCCTTCCAGTGCTTCCCAATACCTCCCAGTCCCCTCCCAGTGTTTCCCAGTACATCCCAGTTCCCTCCCAGTGCCCCCTAGTGCCCTCCCAGTGCCTCCCAGTATGTCACAGTTGCCTCCCAGTGCCGCCCCCCCCGAGTGCCTCCCAGTCCCTCCCAGTGCCTCCCAGTGCCTCCCAGTACGTCCTACCTCCCTCCCAGTGCAAACCCAGTACGTCCCAGTTCCTTCCCAGCACCTCCCAGTACGTCCCAGTTCCCTCCCAATGCTCCCTACTGCCCTCCCAGTGCCTCCCAGTATGTCCCAGTCGCCTCCCAGTGCTGCCCAGTGCCACCCACTATATCCCACTTTCCTCCCAGTGCCTCCCACTCCCTCCCAATACATCCCAGTCCCCTTCCAGCACCTCCCAGTACATCCCAGTTCCCTCCCAGTGCCCCCTAGTGCCCTCCCAGTGCCTCCCAGTATGTCACAGTTGCCTCCCCTCCCAGTTCCCTCCCAATACATCCCACTTCCCTCCCAGTGCTTCCCAGTACGTCCCAGTGCATCCCAGTTGCCTCCCGGTGCCTCCCAATACGTCCCAGTCCCCTTCCAGTGTGTCCCAGTGCCTCCCAGTACATCCCAATCCCGTCCCAGTTCCCTCCCAGTGCTTCCCAGTATGTCCCGGTACATCCCAGTTCCCTCCTAGTGCCTCCCAGTTGCCTCCCAGTGCCTCCCAATATGTCCCAGTCCCCAGTGCCTCCCAGTACATCCCAGTTCCCTCCCAGTTCCCTCCCATTCCCTCCCAGTATGTCCCAGTGCCTCCCTTTGTCTCCCAATACATCCCAGTTCCCTCCCAGTGCCTCCCAGTACATCTCAGTTCCCTCCCAGTCCCTCCCAGTATGTCCTAGTGCCTCCCATTGTCTCCCAGTACATCCCACACCCCTTCCAGTGCCTCCCAGTACATCCCAGTTCCCTCCCAGTTCCCTCCCATTCCCTCCCAGTATGTCCCAGTGCCTCCCTTTGTCTCCCAATACATCCCAGTTCCCTCCCAG